TAAGTGTTGGTTAGCTACTCTAGTTCGCTGCCGACCTCAGAAATCGGGGATTCCACGATTGAGAGAGCTGTGCTTATCATCCGTGGTGGTTCCGTGTTATCCTTGACTTTTCCATTCCACGTTTTACCAACTTCGCGACTCCCCCATGCTCTTGGTCTGGGCAGAACCTTGGAGATGGATACTGAATACTCCTAGGCCCATTGGCAGTAATGAGAGATTATATGTGCAGAACATTCTTGCAACCTATTATTCTAACTGGGTCATGGGCTTTCTATTTGCATTTCGTCTTATCTGTGTGTTCGACTACTGCTAAAGCGAAAGTTTGCGTCAACCAGGGTTTCTGTCGCTTCATGTTCTGCTCTCATGCAAAGGACAGCAACAAATCTCACCAAGGGCAATCCCTGTCCTCACATAAACAGGTGGCGGGGCGCAAGCACCTAGCGAAACAACTTGGTCTTTGCCCGCACAGACATTAAGGCTTTCCTAGAGATTAGCTAGAGTTGTTGAATCATGTTCATGTGTTGAACATTCTGAAAAATCCTCTTTTCAAAAGAAACCCGTTTATCGTTGAATCGTTGAACGGACTCATGATCATGAGATCATTTGAACTTGACTTGAAGCATCGATCAGTTAGTTCCTTTGATATTCATGGTGTTTACGGTCAACATGTTTGCTTATAAAGCGCTAAATTGGTGTGTAAGAAGTCAGTTTCCGGGTGTTTTCTCACGAATAAGACATCCCAACTTTCAATTGCATCACGTTATAAGGAGGTGAGTGCTAGCATGTATGTTTTCAGCTTCATCACTCATTTCCGATTAGGCAAGTGCATGTTGTAACCTCAACTAGCTAACCAGCTACTTATTAACCTCCTTTATAGCTTGTTCTAGAAAAAATTACCAGCAGTTTGATTGCTGTGGTAGAGTTGATAACCCTAACTTCGAAGAAGTCGAACAAATAGATGAACGCTGCATTGCCATATGATTTGAAGCCATCTTTTTCATCAGATATCGTCGTTGTCGTGGTTTCAGTTCGAATTACCATGCCTATGAATCCCTACGCTGTGAATTTCCAGGGAGAAGATGACGGCTGTGGCAAATCGCGTCTGCTTGATCGTCATCGACGGTTGGGGCATTTCAGACCAGACCGATGGCAATGCCATAGTGAATGCCAAAACACCTGTCATGGATTCCTTATGCTCAGGTCTGCTATCTAGGGCCAATGAAGGTTGATCTGTATAAAATGAATATGCAATTATAGGAAATTGGACGCAGATTGAAGCTCATGGCCTACATGTCGGTCTCCCTGAAGGGCTTATGGGTAATTCTGAGGTGCGTTACATCTCTCAGAGCGTTTACAGTTGCCTTATCACCAAATTTTATCACATTTTCCTTTGATTGTCCATTAAATTTAACCATTTAGGTCGGTCATCTGAACATCGGTTCCGGCCGACCAATTTACCAAGACATTGTTCGTATTAACCTCTCCATCAAAAATGATACTCTGGTGAGTTTGTTGAGTAAAGCTAATGGATTAATCACATGCAGCCCTTCATAAATTGATGTGCAGCCCCTCATTAGTCAGATCCACCTTGAAGGTAGTGCAGTTGTCCCTTTGTTTATTTATGAGGTGAATTCTTGCTCATGTGGGTTAAGGATACCTTCATGGGGAGCCTAATTGTCGTTGTCACTTCGCCCTAAAAACACGAAACCCTTCGTGTAACTAATCTGTTAACTACCACGCTCTTCTGTATCTATCCATGTGGTCTGTGATTCAAACTCTACAACATACCTTATCAGTAACGTTTAAGGTGAAAAATGAGGCTCTGGTAGCTGCTTGTAATCGGGCTAAAAGCGGCAACNCTCTCCATCAAAAATGATACTCTGGTGAGTTTGTTGAGTAAAGCTAATGGATTAATCACATGCAGTCCTCCATAAATTGACGTGCAGCCCCTCATTAGTCCGATCCACCTTGAAGGTAGTGCAGTTGTCCCTTTGTTTATTTAAGAGGTAAACTCTTGCCCATGTGGGTTAAGGATACCTTCATGGGGAGCCTAATTGTCGTTGTCACTTCGCCCTAAAAACACGAAACCCTTCGTGTAACTAATCTGTTAACTGCCACCGCTCCTCTGTATCTATCCATGTGGTCTGTGATTCAAACTCTACAACATACCTTATCAATAACGTTTAAGGTGAAAAATGAGGCTTTGGTAGCTGCTTGTAATCGGGCTAAAAGCGGCAACGGTCGTCTTCATTTAGCTGGCCTTGTTTCTGACGGAGGAGTTCACTCGCACATAGGTAAGTTCTTCTGGTCAAAGCTTATATCATTAGTCTTGAAACTTTTTTAAGGGGAAAACCATTGCAACTGTGGAACAATTCCTTTTTCAGATCATCTATTCGCTTTGATAAAATGCATTAAGCAGTTGGGTGTACCCAACTGTTTCCTTCACTTTTACGGAGATGGTCGTGACACATCACCAACTAGTGGAGTTGGCTTCCTCGAGAAAACCATTGCTTTCATGAAAGAACAAGCGTACTGTCAGTTGGCAACAATTGTCGGACGGTTAGCACTAGATTTTCCGATTTTAATCTATTTCGTCGATTCACAAGTTGTATTGAGAGTTTCGATACTGTCATCAACTTTGATTGAGGCCATTTTTTGAGAACATTCTAAGAAGTTGAAGTAGGAGTAGCATCCTATGAAAAACAAAAATTATTTGACGTGTGACTATGGGAAACGAGGAAATTTTGCCTCTGATTCGTCTAGTCATTGGTATGTATGTGTCTATGTGCAAAGTTTCAGATATTATGCTATGGACCGTGATAAGCGTTGGGAACGAATTTGTGTGGCGTATGAAGCTATGATCGGTGGTAAAGGAGAAGCTTGCTCTGTTGACGAGGTACTTTCTTCATGACTATATTCATCAGTGGCTTTTTCTAGCCTTTCCATCATCATCTAGTTCTACTTTCTTCAGGCTCCAGCTCTCGTAAAAAAGCGCTACGCTGCTCAAGAAACTGATGAGTTCCTCAAGCCGATTATCCTCAATGGAGACAATGCTAGAGTAAAGGACGGTGACACAGTCATCTTCTTCGATTACAGAGCTGACCGAATGAGAGAGATTTCCGAGGTGACCATTGGTCCATAAATTTTCAACCCGCTTGCATTGATTATGCTGGTTCTAGGTAATGGGAATGGAGCGTTACAAGGACTGCAAGTCATCTCTCCCTCATCCCAAAAACTTGCAAGTTATAGGTTTGCAATACCAGTTACATAAATGAATATCAACAGGTGTTCAAGTGATTTTGTACAGGTATGACGCAATATAAAGCAGAATTCCCGTTCCCAGCCTTGTTTCCTCCTCTTTCCAACAAGAATGTGCTGGCTGAATGGCTAGCTGAACATGTATGCTCTGATTATATCTAGTTTTATTACTTTTTAGTAATACTTAACGGGAGTGTTCGGCTTTCAGAAGCTGACTCAGTTCCATTGTGCGGAAACAGAAAAATACGCGCACGTAACCTTCTTCTTCAATGGTGGAGTCGAGAAGCAGTTCGAGAATGAGGAGAGATGCATGGTCCCCAGTCCAAAGGTTCAGCTCAATTTCCCATTTCCTTTTCATTCTTGAAATCTAAATTCTAATTCTACAGGTGGCGACATATGATTTGAAGCCAGAGATGTCTTCAGAAGGAGTTGCAGACAAGATGGTGGAACAGATAAAGTTGAAGAAACACCCCTTCGTCATGTGTAACTTCGCCCCACCAGATATGGTTGGCCATACTGGAGTGAGCTCATATCTTATATTTCGTTTGTGTTTAAGATTCCATTACCGTATTCTCTCGATCATAGGTATACGAAGCTGCCGTCAAAGCGTGTGAGGCCACTGATAGAGCGATAGGAAGAATTTTCGAAGCTTGCAAGGCTAATGGTATGTTGTTTTCTTACAAATTGTGTGCTTGTATATATTGTACTTATGCAGACTACGTGCTCATGGTAACTGCGGACCACGGTAATGCCGAAAAAATGAAGGCCCCTGATGGCAGCAAACACACCGCTCACACCTGTAACCGTGTACCGTTTACATGCAGCAGTAATGCGTTCAAATTCAAGAAGGTAAGTACCTTCATGTCATCAATTTTCTTTAAACTCATCATCAAAGGCTAACTTCTTCTCTTTTGAGCTCACTGATCGAGCACCAGCTCTCTGTGATGTTGCGCCGTCTGTACTCACTGTAATGGGCCTTCCCAAGCCACAAGAGATGAGCGGCGTCTCGTTGCTAGACAAAGTTTGAGCGCTTTAATATTTTAGATTCTCATGATGCCCGGTTATTAGCAGAACTGTTCTTTTCAAGTGCAGATCAAATTTCTTCAATATTTTAGCATTCGTTAGACCTAGTTGTTCACGGTCTGCGTTTCACAGTGCAAAGAAACTAGGACCCTGTTCACCATCTGTTTCCAGTTGTGTGAACTGTAGAGTAAATACTGCACTACTTGTTAGTATCTAGGCGTTTCATCTAAGTAATTTCATAGTATTTAATTTGGATGGCTGTGAACTCATTTAGGCGGCCTACTGTTAAATTTCTGGTCAAAGTTCTGCGTTAGAGCAATTCAATAAATCATTGGTTCCCTATCTGNAATACTGCACTACTTGTTAGTATCTAGGCGTTTCATCTAAGTAATTTCCTAGTATTTAATTTGGATGGCTGTAAATTCATGTAGGCGGCCTACTGTTAATTTTCTGGTCAAGGTTCTGCGTTAGAGCAATTCAATAAATCATTGGTTCCCTATCTGTTATAGCCTTGTCGTGTTATGCTTCTAATTGGAATTTAAAGCTGGCGAATGGCAGTGTTGGTCAATATGAAAAGAGCCTGAAATGGGGAACCTATCATAATCTAGTATGTTTGTTTAAAATCGTTGGAGGCATCGTGGTCCAGTCGATAATTAGTACTGTTTTATGTGAATATGTTTGTGACCGCTCGAAAAAACTCTTACGAAAGGTGCACATCTGTCTAGGAAAACTGATGAAAAAAACTAGCAGCTAGAATCCTCCATTAGATAAATGGATTGTGCAGATTTGCACGGCTCTCTGTTCGCTCTATGCTATTTTTCTTTTTTTTTGTCAAAAACCATGAATTATGGATGGTTATGGGAATATTTTTATGAAGACTCACCTGGTTGCCTTGTTAGTGGAATCAGTCCTTTCATTGACTACTGACTTTGAATAACTTCCGGTTATTTGCCTTTTCCAAAGGAATACGAATAGTAAATCTTTTGTAAACTTTCAATTTTAAGAACATCAATTTCAATTACTGCAAAGTTCACAGGGGATAACCATAGGATCAATACTTCGAAATACTGCGATATTACACGGAATGCATAAATTTTGTGCTAGTCACTTATTTACACACATATGTGCAGGCTGAAGGCCACAAATCTTACCCATACACAATCGTTCATTCGCATTGTAAAGAAAAACACTGAACATGTCCTGATCATCGTCAGCTGTTTAGCAAAGTGTGTTAGAAGGTATGAATTGTAGCAAATACGTAGTAAATCGTAGTAAAGACGGAGAAGGGCAGTTGTATCGGGTCAGGGTCAGTGACCCCGCCGCAATTCAGCCTAACAAATGGAATAGGAAAAATACAAATGAATGAAAAAAATTACTGAGTATAGCTCAACAGTGTTCTGTAACTCTTTGGAACTCCTTTTTTACCTCTACTCATGACAATGTGAAACTCCTTCTTACATCTGGTATATCCCTACATTTTTGGACAAGGTCCCCACAGAAGAAGTCGCCTTTGCACCACTCCCACGCGAGAGTACTTGCAAAGGAAGTAGTTCCATATGTCGCTTTATATGAAATCTGAGCCCACATTACTATCACGCAAAAATCAGTTGCTACTGAGCTTTGTTAGTGAAGATGCACCCACCGAGTCGAACAGAACATTGATAATTCGTACGAAGTGTTCTTTCATTAGCAAATAAAGAACACTGATTCACAATAATCATGCTGAGGTCTATAAAGAGCAGTATGCGCTGTTAATTAATTCAGTCGAGTAAAATAATACAGGAAAGACCACCGGATAGCAGTCAAACGGTTAGATTGAGATCAACAGCACTTTCAAAGAAATATGACACTGCTACCAAAGAATCGATATCTAGTAATAAAAGCTAGATTAGTACAGGGTTAATATACTATGTAGAAAACACAAATACTATTTCTTCAAATGTATTTCGATTACGTCATCAGCCTCCATTCCAATAGCCCCCGGATTATCTCCATCATTAAGGACCTCGCTGTCGAACACCAGCTTATCTATAGCTTGCGTCAACTTCAGTTCCTTTGCAATGCGCTTTTTTGCATCGGAAAAGGGTTCTGTCTTGAAAATGGTAATTTAAAGAAACCGGTGAAGGATGAAAGGTAGAAATAAAAGCAAAGTATACTGACCAGACTGATGTAGACACACCGAGGGCGAGAATTGGCAAATATACACTTTACCGCTATGAAATTCGGATCGTTTGCAAGGTCCTCTTCGTAAGTGGAACCAGATTTCAGAGAGAAAACATTTACGAGAGCTAGCTATAAATAATTACATCATAAGAATAATCATTCAAAATGTTGTAGATTTTTGGATGTTGATCTTGGGAAGCCCTCTAAATACCCTACCGCGTGTACGGCATCGTGAGATGGAGGGCTGCGTAGGACAATCCCGAGACACCCAGACGTTAATGCCTTCGGGAAATTCTCAAGTATGCCAGACATAAGGCCTAATCGACGTGAAAAACAGGCACTGAACATTGAACATACCTTTTTTAAATCAAGACCCATCGAGTCTGGGGTATCTCCTGGACCTGCATCCACTTTATTGACATGAATCAGAACATCAAGTTGATGGCACTTCAGTTCTCTCGCAAATGCAGGGCGTAGCTTGTCAAATGGTTCATCCTAGAAAGTCGACAGCTGCTGTACTAACAGAAGCTCACACAGGATAGCTTTGAAGTTACTTACCCGGCGAATTGTCATAAATCGCCCAGGCTTTCCAGCTTCGTGATCCACATTGACGGTTACAAAAAGATCAACTTCTTTGCTAGAATCTGTGGCTCCTTTTCCAGAAGCAGCATTCTTCGCGGACGTCAATCCAGTATTAGACTCTATCGACTCTATGCTGTCATTCAAAATATCGGAGGATTGGCAGCTAAAACTGGATATGATAATTAGGTAAAAGGTGGCAAGAAAAAGGTGATACTCACAGATCAATTACTGCAGGACGACACCTTTTTATTCTCTTCGGAACAACTACATTCGTAACAATTGGCTCGTGCAGTATCTCGTCCAACTCTGAAATATAACTAGCTCGAGTGATCCAAAAAAAAAAGGAAACGCCAAGTCTAAAAACGGATGAAAACCAGGCCCAAGAACTAAGCGTTACCTTGCAGTTGTTCCTGCTCCATGCGCTTTCTCCGCCTTTTAGAGGATTCCTTAGCTTTCTGAAAAACACATACGATTTAGTGACCACTTAGGAAAAACGGAAAAAATTTCTTCTAAATAATGGGTGAGCTTCCAATAATTTCCCTACGCGTGGTTCAGAACAATTGAAGGAAAGCATTGGGGAGGATGAAAATTCTCAACAAATACCTTTGGGCACAGATTTTCTGGATCAGAAAGATCGAGTGAATCCGAGTCATCGTCATCTACCGGAATGATATCAGGTTTCACTGAATATGCGAAAGATGAGCACAGCAGAGAATGAATATTGAATCATTTTGAAGAAAAATATCCTCAACTCTAACGGCTTTCTATCCTGATAGCAATAGCCAATAGTAGTATGCCAAAATCGAGTGGTTACTTTTTAGGCAGAAAGAAAGAATTCGAAGAAAGAACTTACCAATACGGGGAGTTACGTTATCACCGTTTGGGAGATCTTTGCATAAACCGTCTGGATCAAGTACCGTAGCTCTTACCTTCCTAATGTCAACACTGTGAGTGTATAAATCTTCATCACTATCGGACGAACAACCCTGAAACAAAGAAAAGGTCTTAAGCGAAATATATAATATTATCTCTGATATAATTTGTAGCGCCACTGCCTAAAACTACCAAAATGCTACACGTTGTACGATTTTCGTATTTTTACGATACATGGCTGTGTTATTCAGATGCCTTATTGCGACGTGAGACAGGGTTACAACGAACTACGCTCGACATGTGTGAGGTTTCTTATCACGGCCTCTGATATCCGCAAATGCCTTAGGCTTGCTTCAACGTGACTATGAAACACTCTGACAGCTTTCAGAGAGAAATATTTGTTTACAATGCGTAAATGCGTGTTTTTCCTAACAATTCAACAATTATCTAAAAGGCTAATTACTCGTTTTTCTCCTCTGATATGTAATCATAGGCCAAGTACCTGAGATGGTTGATAAGTAACGGAAAAAATATTTTCCCCATGAAAAATGAGATTGTATTTATACGAAATGTATGCAATTACTAAGTTACCTACATAACATTTTATTCATCAAAACCATTAGGAATAGCGACTACCCGATCATGCAAAACCTACACAAATTTCAGATAATCTGCTTATACTTCTTACACCAC